AAAGCAATTCGTTTGTATTAATACCCTAGAAGACACACAAGCTGTTAGAGCAGTGGCTTTTCATCCAAGTGGTAGTTTATATGCTGTTGGTTCAAATTCAAAAACTCTGAGAGTATGTGCCTATCCAGAAGTAATAGATCCAAGGTAAGAAAACTAGCTTGTATTGCCATACTTGCTTTTTAAAAAATTACCCTTATTAGTCCCCTTTTCAGGATTACCATTTGGTAGTGTTTCAAGCTTTATTTTTATTTTCAATGCTTACAAAATACAATTAACTCATTAATTTTATGATTTTTTTTTTGTTTTCAGGTCATTGTGCATTAAGTACTCTAGTCTTCCTTATTTCTGTGATTTTTATATTTTCTTTTTTATCTGAAAGTTCTTATATTCTAATTAATTTACATGAGCTAAAAGCACAGTAAGACTGGTTACAAATTGGAGAAATATACACTTCTTATAATAGTCTCAGAGGAGTTTATTTTAAACTAGATGAAACTGACCATTTTAAACCTATGAGCGTTAAAATTTCACTTGATTTTACCCTCTTATTTTACCAGTTTGTGGGATTTGAAAATAGGCATGTATCTTTAAAGACATATCATTATAAATGTACACACGTGTAACTCAGTGGTAGAGCTCTTGTCTAGCATGCACAAGATGCTGGATTCAATTCCCAGCACTGTAAAGAAATGTTTTTTTAAATAGTTCAGATGTAGCCTCATAGAAATCTGGATTTAAACCCTACACTTTGATTAAGTACTCTTTATGTCAATCTATTCAAATGTTCACTATCAGAGGTATTAGAGAGATAATAACCCATTTGTGGTTAGGAAAATGAATGTCACAAAGAATAGTCTGTAGCTGGGTGAGGTGGCTTACACCTGTAATTCTAGCTGCCCTGAAGGCAGAGATTGAAAGGATCTCGGTCCAAGGTCCAGGACAAAAATGAGAGACCCTATCCAAAAAATAACTAAGCAAAAAGAGCTTGGGGTGTGGCTCAAGTAGCAGAGCACTTGCTGTACTCCAGGTCCTGAGTTCAAACTCTAGTACTGCCCTCCACCCAAATTAAAAGGAATAGTTTTTATATCAATATACAGAAGCACTCAACAATATAAACCTTTAAAAGTTTTAATTATCAGAAGTGCCACATGCCAGATACTGGTGGCTCATGCTTGTAATCCTAGCTATTTGGGAAGGTTGTGTTTCGAGGCCAGCCTGGGCAAATAGACCCCACCTCTAAAATAACCAGAGCAAGGACTGGAGGTGGCTCAAGTGACAGAGTACCTGCTTTGTAAGTGTGAAAACCCGAGTTCAAACCCCAGTCCCACCAAAAAACAACCACCGAAAAAACCAGAAGTGCCACATGTCATAGTATGTTTTAATAATTTTTTTACAACTCTTAAGACTTATTTATTTAAAAAATTTTTAGGCAATACTGAGGGTTGAACTTAGGGCCTCTTGCTTGCTAGGCAGGCGCTCTACAGCTTGAGTCATACACTCAGCCAAGACTTACTTATTCTCACTTTAGTTTCAGGAAAGAAGGATGGGATTTTTTGGCTATCTCTATGTCTGAAACCAATGATTTTGACTTTTAGCCTGTGGTAGCATTTATAGATTGGGAAAATGAATCACAAGGACCCATGTTAGGTCATAATATTATAATTTACTTTGTGCTTATTGTATTATTAAATAGAAATACTCAAAAGACAGAATTCTAAATTAGGGATTGGAAATAGCAGTATTTGTGGAGGCAGAGCTAAAGTCTTCTATGTGTAGAGGTAATGTTATTTTAAGTTAACTATCATCTTTTTTTATTTTTTACACTGGCACAGTTGTTTCATGGACTGTAAAACTAACATTTATAAAAATAAATTAATTTAGCAAATTTATTTTGAGCTCCAGTGTTCTGGATTCAGGTTTTAGTTAGGGCTAGTTGTGTATAAAACAAAGATGTTTATTTACTGAATCTTCTGGTTTAGTGGGGAATATGGACATTAAGGCAATAAGCACACAGATAAATATGCTTATCCATGGTGACAGATATTAGGAAAAAAATGGTAAAATTCTGTGAGAATGTAAAATGGGGATGGGGGATGGTGTAGGGTACAGCCTGGTGGGTCAGAGAAAAGGCTCTTTGAGGAAAAGCTTTTAAATCTGAGATCTGAGCATGACTGAAGACAAGGGAAATGACAATAATACAGTAAAAACAGGAGATGAAAGAGAACTTGGCTTTTTGAGGAACTTAAATTCAGATTGGTTGGAATATGGTGAGCTAGAGTGAGGTAAGTCCACAGAGAGAGACAGGAAGTAAATTATGCAGCGCTCTCTAGCTGTGGTAGATTTTTGTCAAGTGTAGTGGAAAGCTGCTGGAGGTGAACAGAGCAAGTGTGATCTAAACATGGTTTGAGATGATCACTCTTAACTTTGGATTGGACAGCCATAAGAGCAGACACTAGGATAAAGACAAAAGGCCACATCTAAAACTGCAGATGCAGCAAAGATGGATGGGTAGAGTTGAGGTAAAGTCCACTAGAGAAAGGATCCAATTAGGACTGGGCTGATTTGTTCTCCATATCATTATTAAACACTCTGAAGATTTATCAGTATTGTTTCTTATACTTTTTTTGGAATTTTTCCCTAATTATGAAAATTCCCAAAACACCAAAAAATAAGAGAGACAAGTACACTGCAGAGAAATAGTTGTCAAGGTTTTTGTCACATTTTCTTCATTCATCTTTTTTGTTTATTTGCTAAAGTATTTCAAAGTAAGTCCTAGATACCATGTCATTTTTACCCTTTTATTCTCCAGAATGAATCTCCAGAAATGTAGTTTTTTTTTTGTGTGTGCTTTCGTTTTACAGTTTTCTTACATAGAAGTGATGAATAATTTAACATTATACCTAATAAAAAAGTCTTTACTGTATGATATTAGTCTGCATTTTGAAGTACAGATAAGATGCTGTTCCTCCACTAATCCAGTGTTTGACTGTCACTAAAAGCCAAACTCGAGAACATGGCATTTAGGATGCTCCACAGCCGAGCCCCTCACCTTACCTCCACACATGTGTCCTTCACCATTTCCTGGACCCTGAGTACCTGTGTTTATCACATTAGCTCTGCAGGCTCTTTCTCAGGACACATGTTAAGCCAGCACTTTACCAACTGTCTGTTTCCACTGGATGCTGTTCTCCTGCCTTCATTATCCTTTAAGGCCCAAAACTTTATACAGACAATAACAACATATATTTGGTTTACCATACATGGGTGGACATGACAGTATCTACTCTCCTTTATTTTTATACATTCTTCACTTTCCCCTAACCTCAGGCACATTGCTCATATCATTTGTTTAAAGAATTTTTATTGAGCCGGGCACTGGTGGCTTACATCTGTAATACTAGCTATTCAGGAGACTGAGATCAGGAGGATTGTGGTTCAAAGCCAGCTCAGGCAAATAGTTCCATGAGACTGTATCTCAAAAAAACCACTTCACAAAAAAGGGCTGGTGGAATGGCTCAAGGTGTAGGTCCTGAGTTCAAACCCCAGTGTCATACAAAAAAAAAGAATTTTTAATGAATTTTTATCATTTGGAAGCATTAACTTTCTTTTTTTATGAGTTATAAATCCATGAAAAATATGAGAATTGAATTTTTTTTGGGGGGGGGCTGGGATTTTAACTCAGGGCCTCACACTTGCTAAGGCAGGAGTCCTTACCACTTGAGCCAGTCCACCAGCCCTATTTTTTTTTTAAATCATATATCCAGTTTCCTATGTGATATGAAATAAGAAATTAGAGCTGGGTGCTGGTGGCTCACGCCTGTAATCCTTGCTACTTGAGGGGCAGAGAGTCAGAGATTCGAAGCCAGCCCAGGGAAATAGTTTGTGAGACCCTGTCTGGATAATACTTAACACAGACAGGGCTGGTGGAGTGACTCATGTGGTAAAGCACCTGCCTAGCAAGTGTGAGGCCCAGAGTTCAAACCCCAGTACCGCCAAAAAAAATAAGAGAGAGAGAGAAATTAGTGTGATAATGGTCTATAATTTTACTTTTTGGATTTTGAATATGCTTTCCATTTATTCTTTTATGATCTTGAAAACTGTTAATAACCTGTTTTTATTCCTCCCTAAAAAACAACCAAAATGTAGAATTTCATCTTAACTAATTTTAGCAAGTAAGAAATTGAGTTGTCTTTATGTAATTTTTCTCTGCAGTGCACATGACACTCCTAAGCAGCCAGTGGTACGTTTTAAAAGGAATAAACATCATAAAGGATCCATTTACTGTGTGGCTTGGAGTCCTTGTGGTCAGTTATTAGCAACAGGATCAAATGACAAATACGTTAAAGTGCTGCCCTTCAATGCAGAGACTTGTAACGCAACAGGTAGGGCCCAAGTATGTAAGCAGTAGCTTTCTTGCCAGTGTGTACTTTGTACTTACCCTGCGTTGAAGCTCTCTGTTGTCTTTAGTGGAATCTGGGAATGTAATCCTAAAAAAGGTTTCTACATTCTTATTGTTTAGTCACAATGAACATTATTCTTTTTTAGTACATTCTTACAGGTGGCCTGTAAAATTAACAGAAAAGTAACTTTGGATTGGAGATGTAAGCTCAGTACTTGAACTCTGGCCTCACATGTGCAGGCCCTGGATTCAATCCCTAGCATTGTGCATGTGGGTAGGTGCAACACACATACTTTTAAATAACTCCCAGAATTGGATTAATGGATATTTTTAGAGAGTTATCTGTCCTGTCATTTTCTTTGAAACAAAAGACAAGTTAGAAGGTAACTATACATAGCTCTGTTTTTAGGGATGGTTATAGATGAATCAGTATTCTGATTTCTTGAAATTCTATGCTCAGTGAAGTGAAGCTGATATAGTATTAATCCCTAAGTGAAAATGTAAACCTTAAGACTGCATTATTATTCTCGGCCAGTTTGACGCAGTTTAGCAATCTCGTTATCACAGTGAGGTGAGCAGCATCTTTTTTTTTTAATTCCTTACTGCTGTTTCAGGACCGGATCTGGAATTTAGTATGCATGATGGGACAATTAGAGACTTGGCATTTATGGAAGGCCCAGAAAGCGGCGGAGCTATTTTAATAAGTGCCGGAGCAGGGGACTGTAACATTTATACAACAGATTGTCAAAGGGGACAGGGCCTCCATGCTCTGAGTGGACATACTGGTATGTAATGTCACTTAAGTGCTGCCTTTCCTTTTGTTGCTCTCCAACCTGTATTGTTTTCCTTTCTTCAGCTTCATTAATGGAGCGTATTTCATTAAAATGAATCTTTTCAGGATAAGAAGTTTTTCTTTCAAAAACTTAAATTGTGAACTTCGGATAGCCACGCAGTAAGAACTAACATTGATATTTCCCTGTGTGCTCAGTTATTTATCACATATTTCCTTAACTTAGTCCTCACAACCACTTTATGATGTAGGAAGTTTTTCCCTCATTTTACACATGAAGAAAGTGAGATTGAAAGGGCAAAATGAATTGCCCAATATGACAAGACTAGTAAACGGTAGAACTAAAATATGACTCCAGACTGTCTCTTCTCATACTAGTAATCAAACGCTACAAAATATTTTCTCTTGTGTTTCCCAGTGTGGATCATTGTTTAAAATGATAATTTTTCTGCATTAATTATGATGTCCAGAAATACAGAAAGAGGAGTCACCAAAGAAAAATTGAGTTTGTCCAGTATGGTTTTGATGTGCATTTTACTGAATTTTAACTTTTTGGAAATTGTAATCTAACTGATACATGTAGAAGATCTCTGTCACATAGTATAGCTGACTAATCAGACCATCACTTGTCCAGGGATGAGGTGTATGTAGCATTGGAAATATGGAACAGTACTCTTCCACTGAGTATATGACCTCTTACAGGGCATATTTTGGCACTTTATACCTGGAGTGGCTGGATGATTGCATCTGGTTCCCAAGATAAGACTGTTAGATTCTGGGATCTTCGAGTGCCAAGCTGTGTTCGTGTTGTTGGCACAACATTTCATGGAACTGGTAGGTTTTCCATGAATTTAAATGAAGTTGCATGAGAAAGAAACTTTATAAATTTCACTAGCCTACTTTTCTCCCTCTGCAATATATAAAAAATAGAAATTATAAATAAATGCTTTGTATTTTATTGATTACTTTCATTGTTTTCAAAATGCTTTCATTTGTTACTACATTTGGGGTTTGAACTCAGGGCTTCATGCTTGCAAAGCATGCATTCTGTCACTTGAGCCACACCTCCACTCCATTTTGCTCTGGTTATTTTGGAGATCGGTTCTCTCGAACTATTTGCCTGGGCTGGCCTGGAACCCTGATCCTCCCGATCTCAACCTCCCAAATAGCTGGAATTATAGGCAGGAGCCATTGGCTCCTGGTTCATTTGTTACTATATTTATAAAAATAATACCGAGCTTAGGAAATCGAGGCTCACAGAGATTAAATATCATGCCTGAGGCTATTCTGTTATTTGTTAGCAGGGCAGTTGATTTTGTTTGTTTGTTTGTTTGTTTGTTTTGTCTTGGTGGCACTGGAGTTTGAACTCAGGGCCTCAACACTTGCTAGGCAGGCACTGTTACTGCTTGAGCTATTCTGCCAGCAACAGAGCAACTTAGAGCTTAGACCTTTAAATATGTTTTTTAAAACAGGGCTGGGCACAGTGGCTCATGCCTGTAATCTCAGTTACTTTGGAAGCAGAGATTGGAACCCAGGCAAAATGGTAATGAGACCCCCTTTCAACAAATAAGTCGGCCATGGTGCTTCATGTCTGTAATCCCAGCTACATAGGAGGAGAATCAAGATCCCAGGCAAAGAATAGAAGACCTTATCTGAAAACAAAAAAACCCCAAAAAACATAAAAGGGCTAGGGGCATGGTTTAAGTGTTAGATCACCTGCCTAACAAGCACAAAGCCCTGAGTTTAAACCATAGTACCATCAAAACAAAAAAAGGAGAAAACCCCAGCATTGATCTTAACATGTAGCTCCAGTGGTAGAGTGCTTACCTAGCATGTACAAGTCCCTGGCTTGATCCCCAGCACTGAAAAAACCAAAACAGCATTGCTTTGGGAATTGGTCCTGTCGTTTTAGCCTCTACTTCATTGCTGATTTCTCAGAGACAACTATTTTTAACTTTGTAGAAATTTTATATTTATTTCCATATTCCTAAATAACAGGATTATAATCATATTTTTAGGCTTATTTCTTGCTATGTTGTAGTTTTGGTATATTGATTTTCCATATTGAAACTCACCTTCCTCACCACAGGCAGTGCAGTGGCATCTGTAGCTGTAGATCCAGTGGACGTCTCTTAGCAACAGGTCAAGAAGATTCTAGCTGCATGTTGTATGACATAAGAGGAGGAAGAATGGTGCAAAGTTATCACCCTCATTCCAGTGATGTTCGCTCTGTTCGATTTTCCCCTGGCGCTCACTACTTGCTAACAGGCTCTTATGATATGAAAATAAAGGTGACAGACTTACAAGGTATTGAGATTGACCTCTTCTGTTTGTCTTTAGTCTGTCTTATTCTATTTGGGGGTCTTTCTTTTTTGCTAGCCTATTGTGATTGACTAACATTTTCAATTTTACAATATTTATTAAGCAGATTACTAAAATGCATGAGGATTTCTTGTAAATTATTAACTAAACAGAGTGAATCTTATTTTTATTGTTAAATAGTTTTATCTATTATGCTGAATCATTCTATTGTGAGAAATGATAAGTTTATGTACTCATATCAGCGTCTTTAAAAAATATTAGTGGATAATCTGTGTAGTTAGGTCTTCATTAAGCAGATATTTACTGCATACTAGTTTGGGACAGACCAATAGATAAATATAAGACAGTTAACTCCCTCTTTGATGGAGCAAGTGGTCAATAAAAAGTAAGCCAATAAATTTTAGGAAATTTTAGGTACGCCAGTGCTATTTAAAAATTTTAGCATAGTAAGAGATAGTTACTGGAGTGGACAGGGGAAGGCTATTTTAGATGGGATAGTTAGAGTAGGTGTCTATAGAGAAATGCCATGTGCCTAGAGTCTTGAATGATGAGAAGGACTAAACCTTGCCAAGACCCTAGAGGAAGAAATAACAAGTATACAGATGCTGAGGTGGGAATAAACTCAGTATGTAATTATACTGCAAGAAGCCAAGGTGACTGGAACTTAATGAACCAAGGGAAGAGAGAGACAAAAGTCTCAATCAGAGGCAGGGGTTTGTAGGCATTAAAATAAAAACAAAACAAAACAAAAAATAGGAGCCAGGCACTAGTGGCTCATACCTATACTCTTAGCTATTTTGGAAACTGAGATCAGGAGGATGATGGTTCCAGGTCAGCTGGGCAAATAGTTCACAAGACCAGACTCCATCTCCAAAATAACTACAGCAAAATGTAGTGCAGGTGTGGCTCAAGCACTAGAGTGCCTGCTTTGCAAGCACAAAGCCCTGAGTTCAACAACAGTCCCACACAAAATACAGGCTATTTTTTTTTGCAGCATTGGAGATAGCAGGCCTATTTTTAACAGCAGTTGTAGGTTAATAGCAAAATGGAGAGAAAGATACAGACTTCCCATGTACCATCTGTTCCCAGTATGAGTCTCCCCCATCAGAGTGGTCCATTTGTTACAATTGATGAGCTGAAGGCATTTAAAAAGGTATAACATCATTGAAGCCATTGGAAAATTTTTAAATAGAGGAGTGATATTTCCTGAATAACATTTTTAAAGATAATTTTGAGTTCTGTAAGGAGAGTGGATTGAAAGTGGTGCAAGAATAGAAGTGTAAATGTCAGTGAAGATGCAGCTGCAATAGTTCATGTGAGAGATGATGGTGGCTTGGAGGCAAAAGAAGTGGCTGGATTTGAGATATATTTTAATTGGTTTTGGGTTCGATTTAGAGAATAAGAGAATAAGGAATCAGTGATGATTCCCAGGTTTCTGGCATGGGCAACCAGATGGTGCCTACTTGAGATGAGGAAAATGGGTGGGGGAGGAACAGAATTGGGCAAGAAAACCAAGAGTTTGGTTTTAGAGTTGTTAAATTTGAGATGACCTACTGTTGCAGGAGGGCTCAGACAGAGACTGAGAGGGAACCAAAGCTTTCAGGAAGCAAGTTTATTAAGCAAGATGGTAGCAACTCAGCGGACTCGTGTCCAAAGGCTGAACCCCAAGAACAAAGGGGGCTTTTTCTTACATACCATTTAGAACAGGTTACAGAAATGGCGGGGTGTGGGGGGGGTGGTTAATAGCTTGTCCCATACATGATCACATGTTATTTTATTGGCTGTTCTAATCTCTGGAGCAAGGTGACCCTTCTCTGGTCTCCAGGTAACATTTCCCATCTCCTGTTTTCCTTTGTTTCACTGTAGCACTCATTAATCTCTCTTCCCCCTCCCTGCCTTCTTGCCACAATACAATTGAGTGAGGTGCCAAATAACTGTTTGGATACTAATTGGGAGCTTAGGTTAAGAAGTCAACATTGGAGATAAAATAGGTGTGAATCATAAGTATATAAATGGCCAAGGTGTAAGATGAAGTTTCAGAGGAAGTGAGATCTTGAGGAAATATTCAAAATCTTCAGGCTAACAGCTAGAAATCAGCAAACTTAAAGCCAGGAAGAGAAGGAAAACTAGCAAAGGAGACTGTGATGGAGTTAGGGAGAAATCAAGTAGAGAGAGTTGCCCAGAAAGTGGCAACTATGTCAGATGTTGTGTATATGTTAGCATATTCTGCTGATACAATTTATCTCTGTCTAAGCTACTGTAGTAGTTTAAAAGTAACAGGAAGCCTGTAAAATCTGTGTTATGCTTATTTTGTCTTACAAATCAACATCTATTTTCTTTTTTAATTTAGGGGACCTCACTAAGCAGCTTCCTATCATGGTGGTAGGGGAACATAAGGACAAAGTGATTCAGTGCAGATGGCACACCCAGGACCTTTCCTTCCTGTCATCCTCTGCAGACAGAACTGTGACCCTGTGGACTTACAATGGCTAGAGTACACCCTGGTTAGTCTCTGCAGTGAAAGCACAGAGACTTAAGACTACTGAATTGTGAGAATGGAAGAGCACAGATGTCCACGGAAGTGGTTTAGAAGAAGCAAACTCCTTGTTACCGTGTATCCTGTTGATAGGAGGTGCTGGGTGGTGGTGTTCCGCAGTGTTTTCAGTCTCCATGTGAGCTCCTGCTTCCGTATTCTTCTTGCCAAAGTCTTTGGAAGAGCTCTTATGTTGGCGTGCACGCCAAGTCAAGGTGGACTGTCTGTCCACGGTTTATTGTTAAATGCACCCCTTGGTCTTTGCCCAAATAACAGTTTTATATACACATTGAAACTGAATTATACTTCAAGTATATTGTTACACATAATGCAACTAAGTTTTACCAAGATTGAACATAGGTGTTCAGAAATTACTTTGCTCTTCTCACAGCCCCATATTGTATCATTTGTCTTCTAGAGGCCAGAATTTGGTATGTCTCAAAATTTACATTGTCATTTTCACTTAAGGATCATTAAGGAGTTTAAAGATGAATAGAAAACTGCTTCTTAGTTCATTAGGTAGTATAGGCCTTTTCTTTTTATTAAACCCAGGGATATGGTTACTATTCTGTCACATAATTTTGTTTCAGGCAAAAGATAAAGTGCTTGCTTCAGTTTTTGAGTGCAGCGAGAGACCTCCCTCGTAAGCTGTACTGTAGAAGCAGAGCAGCAGCAGTGTGGGTGCAGTATTTGATGGTACTTATCCTACTGGCTAGTGTTTTCCTCTTAAAATTAAAAACTTTGCCATAGACTATAGCATGGCTTGAAATGCTATGTCTGCATGATAATTTAAAATGAAAAATTTAAACTTTGCACTCCAAGAGTTTATTTGGATTTTTTTCTTGCACTGTTTTGTGTAATGCAGATTAATGATCTTGTTGGTATGGCATTGTAGATCCTAACATTTATGTATCTTTTATTTCATATTGTACAGTAATTTTATTTTAAATTATTAAATAGGCTATTTTTATTTATTTCAATTGCAGTAATATTGGTTCTAGTTATTGAACTGTGTGTGCACTGTATGTAGCAAGCATTTTAATCTGTTGTACACAGTGGAAAGAGTATTAGAAGTGTAACTGTGCTTTTATTTCAATAAAGATCTCTTGACACCTAAAACCATTATCTGTTCCTCAAAGTTTATGGCTTTCCATTTAGAATATTTCCCAGTTTACTTGGAGGGAGGGAGTCCATTGGAAGAACCCCATAATCAGTTTCTAATACTTTTTCCTGAAGTTCTCCTACTAGTTTCCTTTTTAACTTTGACAACTGCATAACTTTTATGTCTTCTCCCTCTCCCTCCTTTTCCTTTTTGCAGTGCTGAGGAATTGAGCCCAGGGTCTTGTGCATGCTAGGCAAGTGCTCTACAACTTAGCTATATCCCCAATCTTATATTGTGATTTTTCAATTACTGAAAGCCTGGCAAGCACTGAGGGTATAGCTTAGTGGTAAAGTGCTTGCCTAGCATATGCTAGGCCCTGGGTTTGATCCTCAGCATTGCAAAATAAATAAATAATAAAGGTCTAATGAAATGTATAAATTCTAAGTCAGACTCCAAAGATGCTGAACTGGTGCTTTACCATAGAAATAAAATCTGGTTAGCTTTTAGAAATACAATAGGTACACAGTCTTTCTGTCTTTCAGACAAGCAGAAGGGAATTCTGCTAAAATAGTCCATAGCCTCTTCTTTAGTTTACTTTCATGCTAATCTCATACAATTTTAGGTATTTGTGTCAAGTCCAAAACTAGGAAAAAAGGGCAATTTCTTTAAAAAACAAAAACATGATGTCTCTGTCTCTTTCTTTTTCTTTCTTTTTTTCTCTCTCTCTTTCTCTTTCTCTCTCTTTTTTTTTTTTTTTTTTTGGGTAGTACTGGGGTTTGAACTCAGGGCTTCACACTTGCTAGGCAGGCATTCTTCGTACCTGAGCCTTCTACCAACTCATTTTATTTTTAACAAAAGTAAGCAAAAGGATAGTATGGTGGCTCATACCTAATACTCTGAAGGTGGCAATCAGGAAGATTATGGTTCAAGGCCAGCCCCAGCAAAAAGCAAGACCCATCTCAATAAGCCGATTGTGGTGGTACAAGCCTATGATCCCAGGATTGCAGTCCGAGGCCAGCCCTGAGCCAAAACTAACCTAAAAAAGGAAAAAGGCTGGTGGCATAGCTTAAGTGGTAGAGTGTCTGCCTAGCTAAATGTGAGACCCTGAGTTCAAATCCCAGTACCACAAAAAAAGAGTAAGCCAATAAAGTATAATGATACTTTAATGCTCCTTTTTTCTTAAAAATTTTGTTAGCATAAGGGCTAGTGGAGGGGCTCAAGTGGCAGAGTGCCTGCCTAGCAAACATGAGCCCCCTCGGTTCAAACTCTAGTACCACAAATAACTATTATAAATTATAAAAGGGGTTTTATCGTGATAGTTATGACATACGTATAATGCACTCTGATCAAATTCACCCCATCTGTTACTCTTTCTTAAACTTCCTCCTCCCCATCCTTTCTCTTTAACAGTTTTTGGTGGATTTCACTGTACTATTTTCATACATATATAATGTTCTTCTGTAATATTCATACTCACCCTCCATACCCTCTCCTTTCCCTTGCCTCCCACTTGCTGGTTCTCCCCTCAAACAGTCCCCCTTCTACAGTCATGTCAGATTATTTTTAGGTCTAGGTTCTACAATACTGTTTTTTTTCCAAGTCAAACTTTGTTTCCTTGTTCTTGATCACAAAATAATCTTATTTAAACCTTGTGAAGGTGACTTTTTTTTCCCCTCTCAGGGAATCAAAACATTCAAAAAATCCGGAGCTTTCTCACCATGGTGTATAGGGTAGTATTTCAGACACCACGTATCAGGGTGATACCAGTTGGCTTTAAGGATGGACAGAGTTTGTTGTTTCCATTTATCTTTATTTTGCATTAGGCCAACAGGAAGTCCCTGAGAGTAAGTTGACAACTTAAAGAATTTTGTCTTGTTCATGAATGGACCAGCTATTCCACCCTGCTTTTATTTTATTCCACCCTCCTGTGCTTGGTCATTGGCTGGGGGCAGCCCAGGGAAGTACCTAGCATGGACACATTAGAGTTCAACATGTCAGCTGTCAGCCACTGTGCTCCCTGCAGCAGGTTCTCCTGAAGAGAGGTTTGAGTGGGGTACCTCCATGGCTTTGATAGCCCACATCTCGCTCTGCACTGATCTCTTCCTCCACACATTGTGGAAGCAGGTTTTTCATGGTTCCTATGAGCTGCTTTTCCTAAGGGGAAACTTTACAGGTTTATTATAAAGAATATTACAAATGATACAGATAAAGTGATGTGAAGCTATGGGCTTACTGCTCCCAGGAACCTCCTCCCTGTGTTCAGCTACCCAGAAGTTCCAGGGCAATTCATCCTTTCCCTCCCTCCCTCCCTCCCTCCTTCCTTTGTAAACACTGTACATGTTTATGGACTAATGTGATTTTTCAACTTCCTTCTAGCTCTTTGAAATATGTAGTATGTTTTTATTATTTATAGTCACCATTCTGTGACACCAGAACTTATTTCTCAGGGCAATTTATTAATAAACACCAGTTAATTTCATGGTAAAAAATGCTCGTAAAAAAATTAAAAGAAAAAATTTAAAAATGTTCATAAGGCTGGGAGGTGTGGCTCAATAGTAGAACCCTTCCTAGCAGATGTGAGGCCCAGAACTGCCAAAAAATAAAAAAAAGTTAATCACAGATGAAACTTAAGATCCTCTAAGATACAAGATACGGAATCTTATCTTGTATCTTACAAGATACAAGATATCGTGCATCCTACAAGATACAAGATATCTTGCAATGCATTAGATAACACTAGAAATTGTTTTATTTATTTAAAAAATGTTTGGATACACATGTCCATTTTCTGTCTCCACACTGTCTTCTGCATGGGTTGAATTGATTCTTTGAGGTTCACACCTAACAAAATGACAGGACTGAAATATCAACTCTCTGAACCCTGCTGAGTTTGGGGGTGAGGTGGTGGTGCAGTGGTTCTTAACTTCCCATCTTTTTCCAGGTAGGAGCTTCAGAGGTCTGATTCAAATTTTTTATTAGCACACATAAATAGTACAAGGGGGCTTCACTGTGATAATACCATAGATGTGTACTGTACTTTAAACAAGCTCATCCCCTAGTTTATTCCCTTAACCTCCTCCCCGATTCAATTTTTTTCCTTTTCTTTGTTATGATTCTCAAATTTTATTTTTTAAATATTTAACTATCTTTTAAAAATTGTAATAAGCCAAAGGGTATAATCAACAGGGCAAAAGGAATCCCATGATCCTTGAGGAAACCCATGATACTATTTGATTAGGAGTTGATAAACAGAATATATAGAGAATTCATAAAATGCAAAACCATTAAAAACTTGATTAAAGGGCTGGCAGAATGGCTTAAATGGTAAGAGCCACTGTCTAGCAAGTGTGAGGCCCTAAATTCAAACCCCGGGACTTCTAAAAAAAAAAAAAAGAAAACAAAAACATGATTAGAAATGAGCAAAGGGCTTGAATAAACATTTCTCCAATGAACACAGAAGATATACAAATGACTACTAACCACACGGAAAGATGCCCTGCTGGTTGTGAGACATGTACCTGGACTCCCAGTTACTTGGAGGCAGCCCAGGAGTTTGGGTAACATAACGAGAGCCAATCTGAAAAAAAAAAAATCTTGACTCCACTAGTCATTAGAGAAATGCAATCAAAACCACTATTATCAAAAAACAGTCTCCATAGCTAAGCTGTGGAAACAGCCAAGATGCCCCACTACTGATGAATGGGTTAAGAAAACGTATTTATATACAATGGCATTTTATTCAGCCACAAAGAATGAAAGTTTGTCGTTTGCAGATAAATGTATGGAACTGGAGAACATTATCTTAAGTGAAGTTAGACAGGTTCAGAAGGCCAAAGGTCCCATGTTTTCTCTCATGTAGAATATAGACCTAATACAAGTATAGAAATATTATGAAAAACAAATCGCGCTAAGGGGAGATCACATACAAGAGAGGGAGGGTAAAGAAGGAAGTTAAGAAAGTGAATATGGTTGATGTACTTCCTATACAAGAATGAATATACAGGGGGCAGGGGGGAGAAGTGACCCAAGCCTTGTATGCACATATGAATAATAAAAGAAAAAAAAAATGAATATACAATTTTCAAACCTGTTGAAATCACCATAAGAAGGGGAGGACTAAGGTAGAAAAGAAAAATATAGACATGGACCAATTCGGGTTATGATATTTGTACACATGGAAATGTCACAGGGAAACTCCCTGCATTACCTTAAAAATGCAATTTTTTTTTCTTTTACAAAATTGGAGGAGGGCAGAACAGGTCCTGCCTGGGTGGTTGGTATCAGGAGGAGGGAGGAGGATGTGGAGAGAGGGTGTAGGAGGGTGAATATGGTACAAATACTGTGTACACATGTATGTAAATGGAAAAATGATACTATTCCAGGAATGGAGGGAAATAAAGGAGAATGATGGAAGGGGTGAATTCAAGTATGACAATATTTGATATATTGTAAGAACTTCTATAAATGCCATAATATACCCCCAGTACAACAATTAAACTGTCAGGATAGGGGAAAATGGGATCCTTGTGCACTGTGGGGAATGAAAAATGGTGTGGCCTCTATGGAAAGCAGTATGGCAGTTCTTCAAAAAACTAAAAATAGGATTAGCATATAATGCAGCAATCCCACTTTCAAGTATATACCTGAAAGAACTGCAAGCAGGGAAATGAACAGGTGTGTGTATACACACCTATGTGCATAGCAGCAGCATTTCACAGTAGTTGAAAGGGGGAAAGTAACCCAAGAGTCTGTCCATGGAGAGGAGAACAGATAAACCTGCGATGGTT